ACTCACTCCTCAACTGCCACCTTGCTATGTTTCTGTCTGCCAGGAGCAAGGAGTCGATGGTGGGACTTCTCCTATATGTGTAGTTCAGGGAAGGACTGAGTGAAGTAGTATGAAAGGAGTTGCCTGATTTTCGATCTCTTTCTTTTCTGGATCAAATAAACATTTCTTTTGAAGATCATTTATTTTTCACCTTATCATCTTGAGCTACGATGAGGCCAGTGGCTTCTTTACAGGTTTAGGCAAAAATCCAGGAAGTAGGAGAAAGTTGAGAGGGACATTTCTCTACAGTAAAATGAGCATCAGTGGAGGACATCAGTCACTCACAGAGGAGTCACACAGATGTTTGTGGGGATCATGGAGGAAGAAGCACTTTGAAAATGATTTTTGTTGCCTTTAGTAGTTCCCAGGGCAGGCTGAGCAGTTGTTTATGCTTCAGTGATGTCCTGGAAGTGCCTCTGAAACAGTTCCATGTCTGGGTTGTCAAGAGGACTTAGCAGTCCTTTTCTCAGAGGACAGCTTTCTTCTAGATTGATATGAGTGAGTCTTTCTCATTATTAAGCTTCACTGTCACAGTTTTTTGTGCCATCAACTTCTCGCAACTCAGACGAGATCAGGCACGTTCAGGGTGGTAGGACTGTAGACAACTTCCTGCAACTCAGTAGCTATTACTTGCCTTTTCTACATTTGTTTCTGTAATGCATCCAGAAGTCCACCTTTTTGTCAATCTGGTCCATTTTTCTTGTTTTATTAAATTCAACACTTTATTTGAATTTCACCAGTTTTCCCCATTATCCTTTTTTTGTCCCAAGATCCACTCAAGGATACTGCATTACATTTAGTCACTGTATCTCCTGGGGCTACTCTAGACTTTCTCAGACTTTCCTTTCCCTCAATGTCTTTGAAAGTTTTAAGTAGCACTAGCCAGGATTTTTGTAGATTGTTCTTAAATTTGGGTTTGTCTGATACTTTTTTCATGTTTAGACTATCGTGATGAAATTTTAGGTGAAGATGACAGAGGTAAAGTTTCATTTTTATCAAGTCATGTCAAGGGTACATGCTATCAACATAATGTCACTGATGAAATTAACTGTGATCATGTGGTTGAGGTGGTGTCTTTTGAGTTTCTTCACTGTGAAGTTACTACATCTTTCCCTCTTTGTATTCTCTGCTTTTTAGAAGTCAATCACTAAGCACAGCCCACATTTGGAGAGGCATGTAGTCAATTTTTTTAAGACTCAGCATTTATTTATATAGACAAATTACTTAATGCCAGGGTCACAGGAACCACGGCTTTTCTTCTGTTTTGTCCTGGTTTTTGTTGTTGTTGTTGTCAAATAATTTTCTATGACTTAGCTTCTCTTAATCTATTAGGTCATGAATTATTTAGAGAGTGAATACTTTCTTTGATTTTTTAAAACACAGCCTTAGAGGCGTCCTGCCATCCAATCTGGTCCTTCTTTCTGCTTTCATTTATTGTTTTACCTTAGCATGGGGAGCCATCAAATTAAAACCTATGTCTTTGTCTTCTCATATCTGTTAGCTTCCCCCATGATTTTTTTTTAAAGAATGAATACCAACCTTTCTTAACCTCTTCCAAAAATAGAAGAGGAGGGAGTACTTCCAAACCCATTTTACAAGACCATCATTACCCTGATATCAAAGCCAGGCAAAGACATTACAAGGAAAACAAACAAATAAACCATCTACTGGTCAACATCACTAATGAGCATAGTGGCTAAAATCTTCAAGAAAATACTAGCAAACTGAATCCAACAGAACATTCAAAAGATCATTCACCATGATCAAGTGACATTTATCCGAGCGAGGCAAGGATGGTTGAACATACATAAATCAATAAATGTGAAACATCACACCAGTATATTGAAGGACAAAATCCATGTGATTTTTCCCTATTATTATTTTTTTCTATATCATTTCTTTTAGGTCCTTCTCTAGAGAACATCTTACTCCAAAATTTTCTCATCTAATTAAAAACAAACAACTTCTTCCCTGGGTTTTAAAGTCCTCGTTTTGTTTGTAGGATGGATTCCTGCTCATATCTGCTTTTTATTTTTTCTCATGCTATCTGAATGCTATACAGGCAAGAAGGACAAATTTATATATTTAAATGGGTCTCACATTTTTGGTCATTGGCTTCCCAGAGCTTTTCCCATGGGAGTTTTCCATAAGCATCGTGATAGTAACACTGTAATAACACTGCACATGAAAATCGTAGAAACTGACCTGACCATTTTCTCTCTTTTCTGAGCAGTTTATCGTTTCTGGCTCTCTCTCAGTCATCACGGACAAAAGGTCAACTAAGACTTTGGTGAGTATGAGAACTGTCACCCACAACCTGATGGACCAAAATGAAACTTAGAACCCTTCACAGCCAGTTTCTCCACCCTGAAAAGTTAGAAACTAAGTTCCAGAGCAGTTCTCGGCCTGGATCCTCCACATCCATGTTCAGAGCACAGTTCTCCAATTATTGTGCCTTAAATCAAAGTCTACACTCAGGGTACTGTATTATTCCCTAGCCCAGTGCCCAGGAATCTATTTCGGAAAAATTCTCCTTACTTATGATGCCATTTTGCTGATAACCGGTTTTCAAATTTAGGTCTTCAGTGGTGAAGAAGCTGATAGTGTTATAAAGAGCTCTATTTGTTGTGGTTTACTGATATGCCCATGAATTAAAACCCTTGAGAAACCCAGTCAAAATGTTGTTCATATGAGAGATTGTCTCATTTATCTCATTCTTTCATTTGCCTCACCAGGAAGCCAATAATTTTATTTTGTTTGAATATAAATTTTTGAAAGCTAAAAGTTGTTATTAGTCATCTGTACTGGTTAAGGAAAAAAAAAAACAACAACTTTATCTGCCCCTATCCCTTATTCTAGGAAAAACTAGGATCGGAAGTGGCAGGGAGTGGAAATTTGGATTACAGGGAAAAGTTTTCTAGTCTGTAAAGTTTCACTGTGTCTTCACTCAATCCTACATCCCTCAAGGGGTTGTTGTTGGAGGTCACGTGAGAGAATGTCATGTAACGCAATCGCACAGAAACTCAGTTTGGAAGCTCTGGCTAGAAAAATCTCCCAAAGACAGCAAGGAAATGAGACACAGAGCTCAGGACAATGCCAATATCTCTTTTTCTCTCACCAGAATTTAGAGATTGTTATTTGGAACCCTCAACTAGACTCCAAACCACTAGATCTGTGCTGTTCAATAGATCTTTCTGTGATGACAGAAATGCACCATATCCATGCTGCCCAATATGTAGCTATGTGTGGCTATCAAAAACCTGAAATGTGGCTAGTATAACTGGATTTTAAATTTCACATAATTTTGCTTTAAATATAAATAGCCCATGTGACTAGTTACAACCATATTGAATAGCATGGCATAAGAGTAATGTTCCCAGATGTCCAGGGGGAAATACATGAGGCTTTTACCCCTGAGAACAATCCCACTGTGGGTGTGCAAGAAGCTCAAGGAGACAGGATGTGGTCTCAGGATAGACTCAACCTCAAGAAAGACATCTAGCCTTTAGTGAATTCTACTCGTTTTTTTAAAGTTTTATTTATTTATTTTTTAATCCATGATATTATGGGGGTACAAACATTTTGGTTACATGTACTAATGTGTTTGCCTCACCCAAGCCAGGGCTACAAGTGTGTCCTTCCCCCATATGGTGTGTTCCACTTCCATTAGCGGTGGGTTTGTCCCCATCTACCCCCCCCACCTCGACTGGTACCCCAAGAGTATTAGAGATTGGAGCACTTTGCTTGTGGGACTACAAATTAGTACAACCCCTGTGGAAAGTAATTTGGAGATACCTCAAAGAGCTAAAAATAGAAATAGCATTTGATCCAGCAATGCCACTACTAGCCATCTATCCAAAGGAGAAAAAGACATTCTATCATAAAGACATCTGTGCTGGAATGTTTATAGTGAATTCTACTCCTGTCACATATTATAATAGCCCTTTTTGACACTGAAGAAAAGCACCACCTGAGAACAAAGATAGCTTATTCTAAGAAATACATACTCCAGGCATCATGACTAACGCTGGCTGCCAGGAGGCCCAGGAACATGCACTTTAGTCATGGCTTGGGGAAACTGGGGCCCCAAAGCATCAACTGCTGAGTTCCTAAAAGAAGAGGGCCCTGTACAGGACTGAGTGACACCCCAACATGTGGCTGTCGAATGGGCCCTGGAGCCCGACAACCTATCGCTATCGCTTTCCCAGGGGGCTGAACTCAATTCTGTTTCCTGTGGGTGGGGACAGAAGGGAAGCCATTTCTCCATCAGCATATTCATTTCACTCGCTCCATTAATGTGCACAGCAGACCCAGGCTGTGAAGTGAAACTGAGGAGCTGAGGAACTGAGTCCCCAAGGAAACAGAGCAGAGGCAACCCCAGCATTGTGGATCTCGGTTTCCTAACATCACTCCAGACCTTTTCTTCTACCTCACACTGCCTTCCACACATCACGCCGTCCTTGGCCCTGCATCTAGACCTCTGCCCACAGCCATCCATACGTGGTCCTCGATATCCCCGATCATATGCCTGTCCAGGCTCCTAGGCCTGCCCGAGACTGAGAACCATGTCCAGAAGGGTGTGCTTCCGAGGGAGGCAGCGTGCAAAGAAGAGCAAACTGCTGCACCTGCCTTTTCTGTGTGACTGGTGCTTCCACGTGGGGCTTCCACGTGGGAGAGAGACTATATCTGGAATGCTGTCCCCCTTGCTTTTGGTCACACTCCCTTGGTGATTTAGCAGGCAAAGCCTCATGGAGGCCCTGCTGTCAGCCCAGGGTAAGGAACTTAGGAGGGCATCATTCTCTGCCACACCACTGAAGTCCTACCGAAGGGTGAAAGCTTCTGTGTATTAATTCGCTCAGCCAAGATTTGCCTTCCAGCTTCAGAGACTTTTGCTAGCCCCTGGGGAGCCAGGCATAAATGATTGGTCAATCCCAGACCACCTGAAGGAAACAGATATAAGGGAATATTTTGTAGTGTAATGGCAGAGAGGTGTAAGAGACATTTGCTGCTCATTAGGGGTGATCCTTACTCACTATTTCTCTTTCAGGTTCGAGGCAGCCTGGCTGGAAGCATTCTGAGCACTCTGTGTGCTCTAGTGGGTTTCATTCTCCTCTCTGTCACCCTGGCTGCTTTGACTCCTGCTTCACTGGAGTGTCAGTTGGACAACGATAACAGGCCCACTCAAGCTTACCATTATTACTTTTTTTTTCATTCATATATGGACTGCTTTATTGGTGAAAGCAGCCTGTTTGTAAGTATATTTTAGATGAGATGTTCTAATTTCATGAGGCTGAAATTAGAACATCTAATTTCCTTTTCTGAAAGCTTTGATGTCTTGTTATTCCTTCTTTTGAAAATCTTTCTGTTCTTTCTGGTTTGGGCATTTGGGGGAAGGCCATGGTCATGTAAATGAAAGGGGACTATGTGGATGAGATTAAGGGGCTAGACTATGGGATTACATACTAATAGAGTGAAATTGAAGAGTAATGTCAAATAAGGTTGATAATTAAAAAAACCTTAAAACTTATTGTTGGCAGAGTTTCTTAATTATCAAACTAATTCCATTTTAGAGGCATAAAATATGAATTTATCAAACAGAATCTTGGCATATGGATTGGTTAATTAAGAAAGGCAAACAAAGCCCTGGTGATCAGTAAATGCCAACAAGGAAACCTGGCATGTGTCTGCAGTGGGGAGTCACCCTGAGCTGGGAGGACATCAGACCCATCACTAAGAAATGGAGAGTAGAAAACGGGGCTAGAAGGCAAGGTCACCTCATTGCAGTGACCACAGTAACTAGTAGTACTGGTCAAGTGAGACGGAAACACCGTTGTTGCTTTTTGTTATAACTTAAAGAAGTGTGATATATTAAATCAGGAGATGAAAAATATAGGGAGATGGAGAATGTTAACTGATAATGATTGCAAGGAAAACCTATCTCTTCAGAACAATGAAAGCAATGACGTTTGCTTAACAGAAATAATATGTCTTAAGTTGGAAGATTAAGGGGCATGCATATCATCAGCAATGCATTGAGAGAAAAAGCAGGCAACGTAAGAATGAGGAGGTTGTAGAATATTTATTGTCCTGCTATCATAAAGTTGGGACAAGCCAAAGACTCAGATAGAAGATGGACAGATAGAAATGTCTGGTCAAATTCATGCTTATAGCCAATTCCTTATAAAGCTGGCTTTGCTTCTCCCCAAGTGAATGATATTATAATGAGAAAAAGTACATGCAAATGAGGTGGATAGTAATTGGTATAAATTACCACCTGGCACAGACAATTCCACCTTGGAAAAAATTCTGGAGAGAAGTTTGAGAGGAGTCTTTGTAGTGGATACAGTATAAATTTATGATGGGACAATTTTACATTATAAATAAGGGATATTCTGTTGAGCTTGCTTGCTGGGACAATTTCTAGGTAATGGAGACAAGTTGTATCTCCCTTTAAACTGTGTGTAAATTCTGTGAACTTGAGATGTATGCAATCAAATAATCTCCATTTTTTTTTTTTTATCAGATAGCTAGTTCTGCATGAAGGATGCCTCAAGAGAGAAATGGTAGAACCTCCCTCTTGGTGTAGTTTCTTTTTAATTGGTCTGAGTTATTAGCAACTGTGGCAGTTTGCTACCTTGATGGTTTTTTTTCTAACTCTTACAGCCACCAAAACAGCCCCCCCCCCAAAAAAAAAATCCAAAACGGTTTAGATATATAGAAAGGGGTGGAAATGTTGAATTGTAAAAAGATCTTGCACAGTCAAAACCTATGAATCTTCACAAGTCTCCCAGAAGGAAATATTATCATGCATGTTTGATAAACGAGGAAACAAGAGCTAGAGAAGGAAGGAGACTTGTCCGGGCTCACATAGCTACTAAGCAGGAAAAGTGTGAGTAGAATGGGAGCTGTTGATTCTCCATCCTGGGAGTCGTCACCCCACTCTCCTTTCTTACTGAGTGAACAGTGTCATCAGAAGTATGTGTCTCAAAGAGGTCAGAAACAAGTGTATAAAGTGGGTTGGTTGATTTAGCTCCCACTCATTGCCTCTTCTCCTCCCAAGAGAATAAATGAGTGAAGAGATTAAACTGAGCCAGCTGTGAGTTATGGAAGGATACTATTCTCTTCTTGACAATGTCCTTACTTTGTTCTCTGATGGTCGAGATGGTGTTTATCTCCACAGTCACCTCCCAAACAGGCACGAAGTTTTCGGTTGACTCAAGAAACACCAACCTCTTATTTCCTGACTTTCAGGGAACGTTGTCTCTGATGCTGGTTTGCACAGTGCTGGAGTTCTGCCTAGCTGTGCTCACTTCCGTGCTTTGGTGGAAACAAGCTAACTCTGACTTCCAGGAGGTGAGTGTGCTGGCCAGCCTCACTGAATCCCGCCGGCTGTATTGAGCTATGTCACCAAGAGTGGCAGAAGAAACAATCGGTTGGTCATGAGATATACGTGGGAGGTGGTTTTGATGGTGATGGAAGACAGTCAGATAAGGAATGGAAATTTAAGTAGCTGACCAGCTGAGGATCACTGGATATGAAGATAGTTAAGCCTGAGAAATCAACTTTTTCAATTCTCCCATTTTTCCAGTGAAAGAACTGATGCTCTGGGAAGTTAAATGACTTGCCTGGCATTATGCTCTGAGCTTGTGCCTGTTCTTAAGACATGAGAACCTGGCGGGCCTCCCTTCTAAGCAAGGGTAAATTCAGCCACAGCCACTAGTCTCCTTAACAGTCTCGACTTGGTGAAGGGCACTTGAACATGTGACTGGACTCAGTAAATGTCTTATGCTCTGCTTTCCCCTTCTTGTGATTTTAAAATTCTTTTCTCCCCTAAAAAATATAAAAAACTATTGTTGAATCAAATTACATGGGACACTGCACTACCACAACCATGGATTCATGTCTTCATTTAACAGAATTAAAAAGCTTTGATTTGTCCAAAATTGTATTGTAGAGAACTGAATGAATACTAGGCTAATGAACAGCAATTATATGAAGAATTTTATGATATGCCACACTCATCTTGGAATAGCTAAGAATCCTATGTATAAAGTTGGATGAAATGGCATCAAGATATATTTGAATATATTTAACATATATATAAAAAGTTGAACCTGAGTGAAGTCTGAAAATATATTTTGTTTCTTCTAGGTTGTGCATTTCCTGCCTCAGAATTACACGGATGCATCCAGCACGCACTCAAGGAAAGGTGGCCGTGGATATCAAGAGCTAGGGAATCCTTAGGAAAAAGGGCAGGGGTTGGGGGTGGAATATTCATCAGAAAGTTGGTCTTTTGGATAATGTAGAAAACCTAATAATTATTTAAAAGGCATTTTCCTAAATGTGAGCTTGTTAGGCAATGAACATTTTTAAAAATTGTTCTCTTCTAATTGCATAGATATGTTGAATGAGGGTCTATTGATTTGCCTGATATTGACTTCAACAAAAGCACAGAGCTATAAATTACCTTTTCCTAGACTGTTAAAATAGTCATATATGGTACTGAGAAAACTAGGCAGAATGAAGATGATTCAGTGGGTCTTGGTGGTGCAAAGGAGACATTTTTTCTTGTACCCCTTAATTGTCAACATGAGTTAACTGAGTTTTTGGGGTGTTCAGACTCCTTTATAATAGGCTATAGTGTTTTAACACATGTACTTTACTCATTAGTATATGGAAACAAGTTCCCTATGATGAATTTCAGGGTGTATAAAAGTAGCTGGCTTCAAAATAAAAATATTTGAGTGCGTATTTTATTTGAAAACTGACTTTGCTATTTTTCCTTTAAACACAGAGTAAGTAAAAAATGATAGATATAAACCTAAATTTGAACAGCCTCTTCTCACCACCAAATAAATATTCAAACAAAACAAATAAGCAAACAGAAGCAAATCAGGAACACTTCTCTGTCCAAAAGAGACAACTGGTTCATAATTTTTTTCCTTATTTCACAGCAAGAAAGAACAATTGTTCAAGTGTACATGTTAAACCTTAGGACGCACACACACAGATGTAGACAGGTTTTTTCAATTTTGTATGAACTCCATTTCTTTGAAAGATCTTGTCACGTTTTCCTTGCCCTGACCCACCATGGCAGGGGTCACACTCATAGTGTCAGATCTTTGAGGCTCAATTTCCCTGCTGTTTTTCCCCAGTCTGGGACTGGAATGTTAGTTTCTTCTGATTTAGCTTTTTCTGCAAACTCTCTCTTCGTTGATACTTATTGGGCACTGGACACTGTGCTTGATGCCAGGGTGACCATGGTGAATAAGATATGCTCCTTGGCTTCAAGGAATTTATAGTCAAATAGGGGAAAGAAAGATGACGGTGAAATTGTCATAGAGGGCACCAAACACTATTTCGAGCACAGAATAAAGAATACCTTATCCTGCCTAAAAGAAAGTAGATAACAAATGAGAGAGAGAGAGAAAGAGAGCTTCCTATGAGAATTCTCTCTCCAGTGTCAATCGCATGCTGCCACCTGCCTGCCACAGGGAGGAATTCGACCCAGAATACACAGTTGATGTATTTATCTACCATGCTCCCTCTCCAGGTTTGTTCCTCACCCCTCTCCACCATATCTTCATCACCACCACACCACCACCTGCAAAATTTCTGGTATCCAGAGTCCCTCCAGAGGGCTTCTTTTCAAATTTGGTTTGTTTATCAGAGAAGGTGGACAGCTCTTTAGGCAGCACTCAAAGACACTCTTTCTCCTCGCCTCAACCTAACTGCTAAGTCAGCCGTCCATATGTTTTCTTTCAAGTAGCAACGCCCCTCCAGCCTGAGCCAAAGGAGAGTGGTGTCCACCTTGAGGTAAGAGGATGTACTGAAATAACATTTGTATAGCAGTTATCATTATATCTGACACATGGAAGATGCTCAGTTAACTTGAGTTTTTTTCTCTATTTTCTTCCCTTCTATTTTGATTTCGATCCCCCAAGACTAAAATAAATGTTAACCCGAATACACCTCTGGGACTTTGAACCTGATTGTTCTCATCAAATCTTCTATTGCTTCAAGAAAGTCTGTAGAACTCTCTAAACAGGGAGTCTCGGACTGTGTAAGAAACTTGCTTTCCCTTTGTTGCGGAGAAAGATGTTAGCATTAATGGCCTTTTTCAGATTCTACACCGTTTACTGACACCTTGTGGTGATAATGAGGAACAATTTTGCCCTCCAGATAATCAGAAAACACAAACTGTGGGGCTAATTGTATCTTCCTGGAGAATTTTCTGGAAGCAGCTAACTTGACCATAGGAAATCACACCTGCAACCTTTGTCCTTCACAGTGTCTCCACATGTCATCAGTAGGGGTAATTAATAATAAATGATTATTTATTATTTACATCTGCAAAAAATATGTACCACACTATAACTATCAGAGAGCTGGAATGGCTATATTCATATCAAATAAAATATACTTTAAAATAAGAAATCTTACTAGAGAGAAAGAAGAACATTTTTGTAATGATAAAACTGCAGGAAGATACAATTGTAGTAAATGTGACCTAACAGTGAAGCCCCAAATATATGAAAAAAGAATGATAGAATTGAAAGAATTTGAAAATTCACCAGTAATAGATGAATCTTAACCTATTCTTATTTATTCATAAAAAAAACTAGACAGAAAATCAAGAAAGAAATAAAAGACTTAACCCTCTCAACCACTTTATATATATATATATATATGTGTGTGTGTGTGTGTATGTATGCGTGCATATATATATATATATTTATTTATTTATTTATTTATTTATTTATCACTCCACCTACAGACTGCCGAACACCCAAACTTTTCAAGTGTGCATATGGAACATTATCAAGCACAGACCATGTTGTAAGCTGAATTTTAAGATGACTTCTAATGATCCTCGCCTTTGTGTAATTTCCTTCCAGAATTTGGGTGAAACTTGTGAAAATCATGAAATATCACTCCCAGTATTATGCTATGTCATATGGCAAAGGGACTTTCAAAGATACAGTTATGGTTACCAGCAAGTTAACTTTGGGTTAATCAAAAGGAGATTATCTGGGCATCCTGACCTAATCACAGGAGCCCTTTGAATCTGGGTCTAGAAGTCAGAGACAGAGGGACTCAGAGAAGAGGCAGAGACATTCTCCTACTGTCCACAAAGAGTCAGTTGCCATCTTGTAGACAAGGCTATGCGACAGGGAAAGCAGAGGGCCTCTAAGTGGCTCCCAGTTGACAGACAACAAGAAATTTGAAATTAATTCTCAGAGTTGCAATGGACTGAATGCTGCAAATATCCTGAATGAGCTAGAAAGAGGACCCCATGCCCAAGATGATATTGCAGCCCTGGCCGACACTTGATTTCAGCCCTGTGAGACCATGAGCAGAGAACCCATTCACTCCAGACCCAAGGAAACTGTGAGATAATAAATTTGGATTGTAATAAGCCTCTAAGTAGATAATTTATTTGTTATAAAGCAATAGAAAACTAATACAGATCCTATGCTAGGTCTTAATACAAGACAGATCCAATCAACTCAAAAAGATTTTAAGTAATACTAAGTATATTATCTGAACAAAATAGAATTACATGGGAAATCAATAGCAGAAATAAATTTGGGAAACTCCCAAATACATAGAAGTTAAAAATCACTCACATCTCAATTAACCATGGATAAAAAAAAAATCACAAGGGGAATTAGAAAATATTTTGAACTGAATGAGGAAGAAAATATTACATACCCAAATTTATGGGATACAGTTAAAGTAGGACTTCTGGTCTCAAAAAAATAACCTAAGTAAGCTCCCTCCTTACAAAAGTAGAAAAAGAAGAGTGAACTAAATCTAAAGTAAGCAAAAATATGGAAATAATTAGGATTATACTGGAAATCAAAGAAATGAATAACAGAAAAATAATAGAGAAAAATCAATAAAGCCAAAAGTTGGTTATTTGAAAATATCAACAAAATTGACAAATTCTAGTTGTACTGAAAGAAAATAAAAGAGAAGACACCCATTACCAAAATCAGTTATGGAGGAGAAGATATTACTAGCAACTCTACGGAAATTAAAAGGATTATAAAGGAATATAATGTACAATTTTACACCAACAATTTATATAAATAGATGAAATTAAAAAAATAAAAAAGATTTAAATCATCAAAAATGACACAAGAATTAGAAAATCTGAATAGATCTATAACAAGTAAAAAAATTGAAATAGTATTCAAAAATCTTCTCAGCAAGGAAAGCTGAGGCCCAGATAGTTTTACTGGAGAATTCTATTAAATATTTAAAAAGTAGTACTAATCTTTTACAAAGTTGTTCACAAAAGAGAGGAGGAAGGGGACATTCTCAATTCACTCTATGAGACTACTATCTTGATATCAAAATCAGACAAAGACCTTTGAAGAAAAGAAAGCTACAAAAAATAATGCTCATAATTGGCATTTTATGTCCTCCTGAGTCACAAGAGTGAAGCCATAAAAGATGCCCATTCTGGTGCTGCCTCTTTTATTACAGTGCCATTCATAATGTGGGTAAGGAACATCCAATTTGAAATCTTGTTTCTATCTTCATATAGCCAGTCTGATACTGCCAGCAACTGAAGGATTTCTGTGGCTTCAATAAGATTTGACCATCTGTATCACAAAGGAGGAGCAGCAGGGCATTTGCCTTTTCCTGGGTACATATGAGTCACTCCTTCATTAATCCATTCTGATAAATCCTAAGGAGTTATTTTTAATATTTTAACAGGTACCTGTATAGCCAATTTATCAATTATAGTTGTCCAGATTCCTTTGGTTGGACCTCTACCTGCAATCCAGAAAGGGTAAAGTTCACCGTTGCTTTTGCTAAGTGAGAGCAGAGAAAACAAATTTTTAGCTGAACTGCTACCTTTTTTGCAGTTCTTTATTCATCTATTTTGTTAGATTCTAAAATTGTTTCTATTCCTTCCATATTATACTGGAAAGTTTTTATTATCGGTAACTGATTCCAAAAGCTTTGCTACTTCAAACCAAAGTGGCTCAGTTACCATGCCAGTTAATACCTAGTATTAACAGTTTGTTTCCATTCCTTTTAATTTTTTCTTTTAGAATATAAACGGGGTACAGATGTTTTTCTTACATAGCTTGAGTCAGGGCTGTGTAAATGTGCCCATCACCCAAATAGTGTTCATTGTACCTGTTAGGTGGATTTTTGCCCCTCCCCTTCTTCCCTGTCCCCCTTGCTTGATTTCTAATGACTTTTACTTCCCTCTGTGCACTTGTGTGCTTATGGATTAGTTCCAATTTAGTTGAGAGTACACGTGGTATTTGTTTTTCCATTCTTGAGATACATTGCTTAGGATAATAGCCTCCAATTCCTTTCAAATTGCTACAAAAGGCATTAATTCATCCTTTTTATGGCTGAGTAGTACTCCATGGTATACATGTACCACATTTTGTTAATCCACTCATGAATCAATGGACACTTGGGTCAATTCCATATCTTTGCAATTGTGAATTATGCTGCAATAAATGTTTGGGTGCAAGTATCTTTTTGATAAAATAACTTCTTTTCCTTTGGGTAGATAACCAGTAGTGGGATTGCTGGATCAAATTGTAGGTCTACTTTTAGTTCTTTGAGAAATCCCCATACTGTTTTCGATAGAGGTTGTACTAATTTGTAGTCCCATCAACAGTGTACAAGTTTCCTTTCTTTCTGCATCCATGCCAGCATCTATTGTTTTTGGGCTTTTTAATAAAAGCCATTATAAAAGGAGTAAG